TTGGCAACAGGTGGATGAGATGCAGGGTCTTTCAACAACCTCATCGGGAAGATGAACTCATCAGTCGGAAGCTCAATGCGCTTTGTTCGCTGTACCGTGAGGGACGCATGTTCGATATGGTAATCGAGCCCTTCTAGTTTTGCAACAAGGAACTCACCTTTCCATGCGAACCCAGGCTGAATGTGGTACCCGAGAAACACGCCTTCATTTGATGTTGGCGAAGTCTTGCCTGCCTGATTGTCAGCTCGTGCAGGGTTGTTCCAGAACAGTACCTTTGCTCCGAAAGGTATCTCAGCTTCATCAAAGGTCTTGTGAAACCTGAGGTACCATGGCGAATCGTTTCCATTCAGCTGTGGCAGGATGTTGGTCGCAACTGCATTGTGCTGGATTGCAAATGGCCACATCGACAGTGGAAACCCTGACTGAACAAGATTCGCACGTGCTCCCTCCAACAGATGTCTGATCTCCCTTTCTACGAAAGATTTGGAAGAATCAACATATTCAATGGAGGTCTGATGACGGTACCCCAACTGCTCTATGGCGGCTTTCAATTCTCGGGAGTTATCGGTGTAGAGAACCTCAACCTCATCCCTTCCGGAAATGAAATGCTGGATCCCTGCAACGGATTGCTCCGTGCTTTTGCTGGTCGACGGATAAACATACCTGAACTGCGTATGCACATCCTTGATCACAAGAGCACACCATTCACCTTTGATACCTTGCTCGATGTTGGCCTTGAGAATCACATGATCAGCAATGATGTGATCTCCAAACGCTTTCGTCTCGAGCCTTCCCTGCCCGCCCTTCGATCTTGCATATGGGGCAAGCATCTTGGCACGTTGGCAAGTTCGGCAAAAGGGATTCTTCGGATAGTGTGCAAACAAGTGCTCTTTGGTGCTCGCTTCGGCAACCAGATCTTGCTCTTTGCGGGATCTCACAAACCGCTCAACTTCGTCGTCGGGATCATCGCCTTCGTCGATGCCTTCGTCATGAACCGGTGCAGGCGCTGGCTTGGATGCTGCTACTGCACTCAACGATGGCTCGGCTTCACAGCTAGAATCTTGATGTCGGCGATTTCGGAAGCAGTGATGTTTCCGTTTGCAGTCACAAGGCGAATAGGCTGTGGGGCCTGTTTTCGGATTGCCTTGGACGCATTCCTCAGTGCAGCTTTGCTGATGAGGTCCTGCTCACTACCGGAATCAATAAGCCACACGTCCTTTCCCTTTGGTGCAGGGGTGGCTGCCCTTGGCGCTTCGACATCCTTGCGAACATCGTGAGGCGGCATGGCAATTCTCAGGCACTCATCACATGACAGGCTTGAGATGGAATCGGATTCCACATCGCACATGAAACCACAAGCGGGCTGGGCTCCATTCTCAATGGCTTTGATTACGGCATTCAACTGGTTCGCGGCCTTGCGTGCTGCCTTGTTCGTCCCTTTGGTCGGCCTGGGGCAGTCCTTGGCATTTGGAAACATCCTGTTGTACTGCCGTTCCTCGTACTCAAGCTTGAAACCATCGCCTTCGGCGGGGATCTCATGCACATGAGCATTGGTGTCAAACGACACCCCAATCGGATTGATCGGCTTGGCAAACATGGCGTACCTAGTGCATACTGCAGCGGCTTTGGCCTTGGGCTTAGGCTTAGGTGAATTTGCACGCTTCTTGGCCGCAGGATTTGCGTTGGCCTCGTTGCTCGATGCCGCGGCGGTAGATTTGCCGCCCGTGGAGGCATGGCTAAACTTGCATTTGTCACCTCTAGTGCACTTCCCTTGGGCAAAGAAGGAACACGGTGCTTTCTCTCCTTTATTGCCTTTGGGGGAACTTGGCCTGCCACGGGTCGCGGAGCGTGCTCGGGGCTCCTTGCGGTGCGCGTAAGGGCAGTTTGCCCCCCTCGTGCACGAGCCCTTCTGGAAGTCAAAGCAGTACTTTTCCTCGGTGTCCTTCGGCTTAGGTGCGCTCTTTTTCTTGGGGTCCCTCTTTTCAGGGGCGGCAGCACCAGCCTTGGGCGTCGGGGCTTTACTGGCATTGACTTTGGACACGCGCTCTCGGTTCTCGCGAAGCCTATCCCTCTCGATTAGATCCCTCATGCGACGCATTTGGAAATCGTACGATTTGTTGGGATCATCATCACGGCAACGATCATATGTGTCAATGTCGTACCGCAACAGATGGCAGCTTCTCACTTGGCGAAGCAAGATGTCTTTCAACACCTTTTCTTCCGGCGGCCTTTTCATGCCGGCGATCACGGAATCCCAAGCGTTTAGGAAACGTTTGAGATCAATGATTCCTTCGCCGTGTCGCGAGACACGCGACAGGTCCTCCAAGGAGTAGAGGTTTCCGGCTTCTTCACTGGTCTTGAAATATTGGTCAAACATAAACAAGACCTGCCTTCCTCTCATGGCCTTTCCCTCCTTGGCACATTCTTCCTTCGCTGTTAGGATTCGCTGAGCCAGATCGCCTTTCGCTGAACGCGTGAGCGCTGCGAGAATCTTCGTGTCTAGGGTCACGAATTTTCCCGGTTCGCCGAGCTCCTCCAACAGCTTCTTCTTGTCCTCGCGATCGGACCAGACTTCCATGATCCAAGGCCAAGCCTCGTCTGGACGGTCAGATGCAGCGCGGACATCCTCACGAACCGATGTCTTCCATTCACGGTACGTTTCAGGAGTTGGCATCTCCTTGAATCGCAACGTCTCGCTTTCGCGGGTTCTGGGCTTTTCATCGTTCGTGTGGCCCTTTACTAACTTCATCAACATTTTGGCGAATGCTTCTTGGCCGAGGTTAGGCCCGAGGCCATCACCTTCGTCTTCATCACCATCGCCATCGCCATCATCATCAGGTGGCGGACCGCCGGGAGGCTTACCACCCTGCTTGCGGTCATTTGACATTGGCCCCTGAGAGAATTGCAGGGGCGGGACCGGTGCACTTGTTTTCACCGGGGATCGGCTGCTACCTGATGGCTTTTCAGCTGGTCCTTGCGGATCGCGAGCATCTGCGGGCAGTGCTTCGCATTCGGCAGTTGGAATCACGCTAGGGGTATATTCAACCCCGTAACCGTCATAGGTAACAAGCGACCTCAACGTTTCCTTTGCATATTGAAATGGATGGGACAACGGGTCCAACATTGACCTTTGGGACCGAGCTGACTTCATGTCGTCGGTCATCAGCTCTGGTGAATCCTCTCGGGTATCACCTACCCCTTCGGGCTTCGATCCATCCTCGCGGAGGTCGTGTTGCTTCTGATACCTCTTCAGCTCATCGAGCTCGTCCTGCAGAAGCCCGTTTTGGTGGGCCATCATGTCAATCATCCTGGCGTTTTTCGCTTCAACACGGGCTGTGTCATCGGCGTGCTTGGCAGCTTGCTCATGAAGGAGCTGCTGGGCTTCCGCCAGGGTGGATTCGATGGCTTGCCTAAACTCAGTTGTTTTGTGTCCCATTTCCGCTTCATGCAATGCTTGGGCATTTTCCTCACACACTTGGCTTATCCTAGCTTCAGCGAAGTTCACTTCTTGGATGAACTCATCGCTCACTCGCTGTTCGTATTCACGAATTCTATGCGACTGGGCTTGCACACATTCAGCGTAGTGTGCATGCAGCTGATTCTGTGCGACACGGAGCTCCTCACGGTTTTCCGCTTGCAAATGCGTGACAGCTGCTTGATGCAGGGCTTCGGCTTCAGACCTAATGGCTGCATCATTCCCAAAAGCAAAGATTGCGGTATTGTACAGTTGAAGGGAATTCATCAGGGTGCGGTTGTACTGCGCATTAGCGCTTGATGCGAACATTCGCACACCGCCGCCGGTGGCGTTGTCGGAGCTAGCTCCGGCAGCATCCACAGGCATGCTGGATCCATCAACTGGCACAAGGGAACCGTCCATTGCTTAGAGCTAGGGGCCTACGGCTGATAACCTATAGATTCAAGGGTTACCGGTTTGGGGCCCAAAAGGAAACAACAAACCGTCCAAGTGCGCTGCTCGCACATTTTCACGCTTGAACAGCCACACTGCGGATGCAATGGATGTAAAACCCCATACTGACCGATCAAATTCTTCAGAAAGCAAGGCAAGGAAGCAAGGAAGCAAGGAAGCAAGGAAGCAAGCAAGCACGCAAAGCAAGCAAGCAAGCAAGCAGGCAAGCAGGCAAGCAGGCACGCACGCAAGCCGGCAAGCAGGCAAGCAGGCAAGCAGGCAAGCAGGCAAGCCGGCAAGCAGGCAAGCAGACAAGCAGGCAAGCAGACAAGAAGGCAAGCAGGCAAGCAGACAAGCAGGCAAGCAGGCAAGCAGGCAAGCAAGCAAGCAGGCAAGCCAGCAAGCAGGCAAGGAAGCAAGCAAATAAAATATACCCGCACAAACCCGTCCGCGACCAATTGGGATGGGTGGCCAGTATCCCACTAGTATCCCTAGGGTTTCATCCACCCAAACAGGGTGGTCAGGGTTCTCTTCCCAAACTCGTGATGGTTGTCTAACAAACGAGTCGAGGGTGCAACGGCCAACCGCAACTTGGGTGCTTGGAGGCCATTGCACTTGCTTCAACTGGAAATCAACCTGGCATTACCATTCATTCCTGAGTAAAGGGCCTTCAGTGAGCTCGGCTTCTGCGGTGAGCTCGCTGTTGTATATCTCGCAGTCTTTCAGTGACCCTGGTAGAAGATCGGGAAATTTGTGTTGGTTCACAACTTGTGGTGGGAAACAAAACCAAACAACAAGCGAAAAATCATTGGTGCCACTGAACTGGGCTACAGAGATTTCCCTGATTCGACCTGTGGCAGGTGCCTCCGACAACTTGGGGCATGGCCCCCATGTTTCAAGGGTCAACAGGTAACCTCAAAAATGTTGCCATTTTGAGGCGACTCCCCCACAACTTCACATGGGTTGCCCCAAAACCGGGTCTGATTCGCAGAGATTCCGATTCCCAGAATGATACCGCTTCTTGGGCGACCCAACTGGGGAGCAGCTTGGACTTGGGAAATCGGGGTGTTCGACCCCGTACAGCGGAGCGGGCCTCCGGGGTGGGCCGCTTTCTTGCCTGGCGGGTTTTTGAGCGGCGCTGAGCATTGGAAGGCCGCTCCGGACCGTACTAATCAAGGGGTGGTTCCCGTTTAGCGAGGAGTTGATCTACTTTTCGGACTTGCTCTGACTAGTCCGGACTAATTCCGAAGCAAACATGTTTTTTGCGGAAATCAACAACCCCTATCTGCAAGCTCGCGGGTTTGCGACAAAATGGAACCCTGTGCCAGTGGGAAGAGCTCGGCTTTTGCCTCAGAAAACCTGATGCAAAAGTTGACCTTATGGATCCTTATGGGTATGTCAAAACAAGGGGTCCTAATGGCTTCTTGTTTATTTCCCTACCAGCCCCTAACAGGGTGGCCCAGGAAAAAAAAGATACGGTGTCCACAATCTCTGGCGCAGAAACAAGTTGGGTCATCTCTGGAAGGCTCGCAGCTCATCCATGTGATCTGAGCCCAAAACGGTCCGCAAGCTCCAACCAGGGTCTGTCAAAGTATACCCTGAAAACCCGAAACCTAAACCCCGAAAATACCCTTTGGGGTCGAAAATAGGCCAACACCAGGAACCAAAGGACAACCAAAATCGAGTCACTGAGCATGACAGCGTATCAAACTGGGTTGCTCAAACTGGGGGCGATCCCCAAGTGGGACCTCCACAATGACTCCACCATGGACAATAATTTTGGCGGTTCAGTGGGGATTTCCCACTAAAGTGGGGATTTCCCACTAAACCACAATAAGCAAAAATGTAAAATGTTTCCCAAGAACAACCATGACCAAGTCGTCAGCTCCCCCGTGGCCCCCAAGACATGGAGGAGCTGCGTCTTCTTGGGCGCAGCTTTCTCGCTAGGTTTCCTCATGCTGGACCCCCAAGCACGTGGGATGGTCCCGACCAAAACAACACCTCATGGGCCTGTTCCATCCTTTGTGGTGTGGATGGTTGCGAACTCCATTTCGCACCACCTAAGAAACCCTGGTTTCTGATGATTCCCCTGTCAATAGCCATGACAAACAACGGTTTCAACCATGGTTTCAGTGGTGCGAACGGATTTCGCACCCATCCACAGGTCGAACAGACTCCAATTGGAGGCCTCCATGGAAGATGCGGGCCTGGAGCTGTGTGAAAGTACCTGGACCCAACTCCCAACATGACCTCTTGCCCCAAACTTCTGGGGAGTCTTTTTTGGAGGCTTCGTTTGAGGCTCCGGTAAACTCATGCTGTGCGCAAACCATTCAAGTAATCCCATCCTCCGCGCAGGGTTGGTGGCTTCCGCTTGCCTCAGGAAAAGAAACGCGGACGGATCCTCAATGGCACTGCAGCCGCCCGGGAAAAAAAAGGAAAACAAAACGCTATGCATATTCTAGCCATGCAACTTGACACTGACAAAGCAATAACAGGGTGAATTGAACGAATCCGCCAGCCGAAATCACAGGCCCAAACAGCTTGCTACAACGTGCCCAAAATATAGAAGCAGCAGCACCTCTATAGTGTCCAAATAGAGAAAGTTCCCAAAATGTGTTCTTGCCCAGTTTCCCTTTAACACCAAACCCCAAAAGGCACACCAAAAAGAGTCATACCCTGATCAGATTCAGCTTGTGCTGTTGATGTTACTGCCACTATGTTCTGCATGGGGGCAGGATCGCAAACCCTAGGGTCGCGATGTAGTTTGTGCAGCAAGTACAATGCCAAAGCAATAGTGAGTATACTATTGCCTGTTAGTGACGTTTAGGGGGCATGGAGACCATCAAAGGCCAGGATTCTCCTACGGGCCCCCTGTGGAACCGAATGAGTGGCGGCTTACATTCCTGGGCTGTCCTCAGATCCCCCGCAAAAAGTGACTAACTTTTAGTGGGTTAAATGGACACTACCATGAAACCCTAAAAGATCCTAAAGCTCAGGAACCGGACGGCTGGGGGCCACTAAGATTCGGAGTCGGTCAGACCCCGGGGCTAGATTCGGTTAAAGGGTCGTGACTTCAAACTCCAATGCCTCGTCGGCTCAGCGCTGGCAGCAGCTGGCCTCGACAAGCGCTATGTGAGACTTCGGAGACTTTTTGGATCTTTGGAACTTTCGTCTGCAAATCTGGGCTGCCCGTTTCTTGATCCCCCGCTAAACGTGACTAACTTTTAGTGGGTTAAATGGAAACTACCACTAAGCACTAAAAGGCTAAAATGCTAAGGGGATGGCTGGGAGCCACCAAGAAATGATGATGCGGGTTTCATGGCAACCATGGTTCCATGTAGAAGAAATATAAGAAGGAGGTATCATCTCATCAAATCTGCACAATCAATTTGAACCTGAACGACAAATTATTTGAACCTATCGCACCCATGACTGGATGGTGACGGATATTTGACGTTGCTGCCGGTGAGTTCTCATGAATACCGGGTTGCAAACCCCCGGTACACCGAGTCGCTAGTGACTAGTATTGCCTCTTAGTGACCCTCAAATGCCCCATATCAAGACCAAGCCAGGATCATCCTATGGCTCCCCCATGCCTCTGAATCAGTATTGTCCTACATTCGGAGTCGGTCAGGAGATAGGATTCAAATGTTGGCTTTTATCATGGCTTCACTACCCCCAGACCACTACC